AGGGGCGCCCATCATGGACCCAGGAGCGCCCCAGCAGGGCCCAAGAAGGCTCATGAGGTGATTATTCCCCACATGCTTCGTGGGGTTCTGGTTTTCTTCCCTTCCGCGTCTCACCCGCGTCTCCTCCTCCTTCTCCTCCCTCTCCTTCTCCTTCTTTCTCACCTCACGCACATCACAGCACGCACGCACGGCAGGCGCGCACATGAGACACGCGTAGCACACTTCACAACACAGCGCAGCGCCGCACAGCACAGCGCTGCTCAGCACAGCTCAGCTCGGCACAGCACACCACAGGAGTGGCACTTTCTCGACACCAGAGAGGGTGCGCAGGGGATGGTTTCTCACCGCGGCGTCTATGCGTGCCAGGGTCGGAAAGCGGGGCAGGCGTGGCACTTTCTCGACGCCAGGGGGGGTGCGAAGGGGGGGGTCTGTCACCGCGGCGTCTATGCGTGCCAGGGTCGGGGAGCGCGACACGAGTGGCACTTTTTCGAACATACACAGCCACACACACACACACAGACACACATACACTCCCTCACCCACGCGTAAACACGCCACATGGGGGTGCACAGAGGGTGCGCAGAGGGTGGTCCCCCAGCGCGGCCTCTATCCGTGACACGCTCGCAACTTGTGGCAGGAGTGGCACTTTCTCGACACCACAGAGGGTGCGCAGAGGGTGCGCAGAGGGTGGCCCCCCAGCGCGGCCTCTATCCGTGACACGCTCGCAGATCGTGGCACTCTCTCGGCACCACAAGGGGTGCGCAGAGGGTGGTCCCCCAGCGCGGCCTCTATCCGTGACACGCTCGCAGATCGTGGCAGGAGTGGCACTTTGTCGACATCACAGGGGGTGCGCAAAGGGTGGTCCCCCAGCGCTGCCTCTATCCGTGACACGCTCGCAAATCGTGGCTGGAATGGCACTTTCTCGACACCACAAGGGGGTGCGGAGAGGGTGGTCCCCCAACGCGGCCTCTATCCGTGACACGCTCGCACATCGTGGCAGGAGTGGCACTTTCTCGACACCACAAGGGGTGCGCAGAGGGTGGCCCCCCAGCGCGGCCTCTATCCGTGACGCGCTCGCAGATCGTGGCAGGAGTGGCACTTTCTCGACACCACAGGGGGTGCGCAGAGGGTGGTCCCCCAGCGCGGCCTCTATCCGTGACACGCTCGCAGATCGTGGCAGGAATGGCACTTTCTCGACACCACAGGGGGGGCGCAGAAGGTGGTCCCCCAGCACGGCCTCTATGCGTGACACGCTGGCAGATCGTGGCAGGAATTGCACTTTCTCGACACCACAGGGGGTGCACAAAAGGTGGTCCCCCAGCGCGGCCTCTATCCGTGACGCGCTCGCAGATCGTGGCAGGAGTGGCACTTTCCCGACACCACAAGGGGGTGCGCAGAGGGTGGTCCCCCCAACGCGGCCCCTATCCGTGACACGCTCGCAGATCGTGGCAGGAGTGGCACTTTCTCGACACCACAAAGGGTGCGCAGAGGGTGGTCCCCCAACGCGGCCCCTATCCGTGACACGCTCGCAGATCGTTGCAGGAGTGGCACTTTCTCGACACCACAAAGGGTGCGCAGAGGGTGGTCCCCCAGCGCGGCCTCTATCCGTGACGCGCTCGCAGATCGTGGCAGGAGTGGCACTTTATCGACACCACAGGGGGTGCGCAGAAGGTGGTCCCAGCACGGCCTCTATCCGTGACACGCTCGCAGATCGTGGCAGGCATGGCACTCTCTCGACACCACAGGGGGTGCGCAGAGGGTGGTCTCCCAGCGCGGCCTCTATCCGTGACACGCTCGCAGATCGTGGCAGGCGCGGCACGTTCTCGACACCACAGGGGGTGCGCAGAGGGTGGTCCCCCAGCGCGGCCTCTATCCGTGACACGCTCGCAGATCGCGGCAGGAGTGGCACTTTCTCGACACCACAGGGGGTGCGCAGATGGTGGTCCCCCAGCGCGACCTCTATCCGTGACACGCTCGCAGATCGCGGCAGGAATGGCACTTTCTCGACACCACAGGGGTGCGCAGAGGGTGGTCCCTCAGCGCGGCCTCTATCCGTGACACGCTCGCAGAACGTGGCAGTCGCGGCACGTTCTCGACACCACAAGGGGTGCGGTGAGGGTGGTCCTTCAGCGCGGCCTCTATCCGTGACACGCTCGCAGAGCGTGGCAGGCGCGGCATTTTCTCGACACCACAGGGGGTGCGGAGAGGGTGGTCCCTCAGCGCGGCCCCTATCCGTGACACGCTCGCAAAGCGTGGCAGACGCTGCACTTTCTTGACACCACTGGGGGGGCGCAGGGGATGGTCCCTCAGCGCGGCCTCTATCCGTGACACGCTCGCAGAGCGTGGCAGGCGCGGCATTTTCCCCGACACCACTGAGGAGGCGCAAGGGGTGGTCCCTGAGCGCGGCGTCTATCCGTGACACGTTCGCAGGGCATGGCAGGCGTGGCATTTCTTGGACACCACCGGGGGTGCGCAGAGGTAGGTCCCTCAGCGCAGCCTCCATCCATGACGCGCTCGCATATCGTGGCAGGAGTGGCACTTTCTCGACACCACAGGGGTGCGCAGAGGGTGGTCCCTCAGCGCGGCCTCTATCCGTGACACGCTCGCAGAGCGTGGCAAGCGCAGCACGTCCTGGACGCCACATGGGGGTGCGGAGAGGGTGGTCCCTCAGCGCGGCCTCTATCCGTGACACGCTCGCAGGGCGTGGCAGGCGCGGCATTTTCTCGACACCGCAGGGGGTGCGGAGAGGGTGGTCCCTCAGCGCGGCCTCTATCCGTGATTCGCTCGCAGGGTGTGGCAGGAGTTGGGGAGCGCTCTCTCTTTCAGGCTTCCAGGGCGCGTCAGGCGTAACAGTTCCTCGGCGCCAGAGGGCGGCGCATGGGGTGGGGAGTTTCCAGAGATCGACATATGCGACACATGTCTTTGAACCTCGGCCATCCTGATATGTAACACATTGGCTCAAGCCGCCTCAGCTCGCCTAGATTTCCACCCAGACGCGCCCTGCTTCCGTATTTGAAGGCAGCAAGCGATCCTTTTGCGGTGTGCGGCACTCATGCCGTCGAAAATTGGCATCGCCGCCCTGCCACCTCCGTGTTTGGCGCTGAAGGAGGCACTGAATGGGATGGGCCTTGAGGTCAATCTGGCAAGCTTGCGCGGCTACAAGGATGTGCATGGAGATCTTCTGGTCCGAAACGCATTTAATGCCTATCACCGACAACTCGCCAACTGGTGGCATCATACTCTTCTCATCAAGTACAACGAGCTGAGTAAAGGAGGCAACGACGATGGCAGGAGGCAGTGTTTGATGCGGTACCTGCTGAACCCTTCGTCCGGCGGGTTCCCAGTTGATCAGACTGGGGGGGCGGAGGATGACGATGGCTCGCCGTTGGCGAAAGTTCGGCGAATCGGCGATGCCGGCAACGGGGGCACTGCCACGCCCGCGCAGGCCACGCCAGCGAAGTCCACGCCCGTGCAGGCCTCCACCCCTCAGCGGTCCCCAGCAGTTCTGCTTGCTACCTCGGTTCGTTCCACTGGCACCCCTCGCATTCAGCTGTTCCCGGAGCAGGCGGAGACGGACTGCCGTTGGTCGCGAGGACCATGGTCGCACGACCTGCGAGAGTCGATTCTCCCGGACAGCCTTTTCGCCCAAGCGGATGCGAAGGCGGTCAAATGGTACAAGGAATTCGCAGCCAAGCGAGCCTCCAATCCAGAGTACTGGCCGTCGAGGAGAGGCGACGATGCAGACCTGTGGAGGGCGCTCAACAAGCACTCTACACATGATGGATCCTACAGAATGGATGTACCCACCCTTCGTTTGTTCGCCTTGCAGCCTGACGGGGAAGAGGGAGGAGGTTCACTCAGTAGCGTGTTGGATGACAATATAGGGAAACATTCGCGACGAGGGTTTAGAACGCAGGTTTCCGCATAGATGATCATGAAAAGCAAACACATAAGATTTAAATTAAGTATGTGGGGTTCCTGGGTAGCGTAATTCTGGATCCGATTGTTCGCAGTGGTTTTCAAGATGGCCTTGAGGGCCCCATTGACCCCCAGAGGGCCCCGAGAGAGCCCCGAAGGCTTCCAAAATCGTTCCAAGAGGACCCAGAGATGGCTTCAAGAAGCTTCCACGAGAACTCCAGAGCCACATATCCGCGAAGGCCTTTTATGGTTGACCCCCGCCGTCGTCGTCGTCGTCGTCGCCGAATCGGGTCTCCGGAGGTCCCCGGTCCAGTGGGCCGACAGTGGCAAAGAACTGCCGCAAAGGCAGATCGAGGATCGAGGGAGAAGGAATCGAGAGTCGAGGATCGAGTGAGGGAGGAGGAGGAGGAGGAGGAGGAGAATCGAGGATCGAGGGAGGGAGAATCGAGGATCGAGGGAGGGAGAATCGAGAATCGAGAATCGAGGATCGAGTGAGGGAGGAGGAGGAGGAGACCGAACCTCGCCGCGGGCAGGAGTGGCAGCTGAGAGGAGCCCCCGGGCGGCGATAGAAGGGCACGGCAAGGAAGGGAGGATGTTCGGGTCACCCTCCTTTCGGGCGACGTCAGCTTACCACCTCACCGATCCCAGCTGGGCCCATTCTCGGACCAAGATCGACCCCGGGTCAGGATCGGTGAGGTGGTCAGCTGACGTCCCTCGATCTGGAGGCGGGGGAGGAGGAGGAGGAGGAGGAGGAGGAGGAGGAGAGGAGGGAGGAGGAGGAGGGAGAGGAGGAGGAGGAGAAGGAGGAGGAGGAGGAGGAGGAGGAGGAGGAGGAGCGCGCTCACCAAGAAAAGGGGACGCCAGGCCAAGAGCAGGGGACGGGAAGAAACGAAAGGTCGAGAGGAGGAGGAGGAGGAGCAGCAGCAGAAGCAGGAGCAGGAGCAGGAGCAGGAGCTGGAGGAGGGTAGGAGGACAATGTGGAGGAGGAGAAGGAGGATGAAAGAGAAGGAGAAAACGAGGAGGAGGAGGAGAAGGAGGAAAGCAGGATGAAGGAAATGAAGAGGAGGAGGAGGAGGAGGAGGAGGAGGAGGAGGAGGAGGAGGAGGAAGCGGAGGCGGAGGAGGCCGAACCACGTCTGGGTCACATTGACACGTCATTGTCCGTTGAAGCGCGCCCGCCCTGCCCGGCGGTGCGGCGCGGCCTCGCCAACTGGCGCTCGGCACCATGGCGTGCCGGATGGCAGCCCGAACCTACGGCCGCCTGCTACGAGGCCGAAGCAACTTCACACCGAGCACGGCGCTAGCATGAGCGACGGAAAGACGAGGGGTCTTACGCTAGACGGCATAGCGGCCTGACGCCGTGGCTTACGCGGGCCAAGAGCGCGGCATGCTTACTCTCGACATTACGCGGGCAGTTTACGCGCGACCTTACGGCTGCGTACGAAAGACGCTGCCGTAAGACGCTGACATGGGCCACGGTCGGGAAATGTTGCTTAACGTGTCGCGGCGGCGGCCCCGGCGACACACGATGCCTTTCAAGCAGATGCCGTGCCGCTCTGCTCCGGGGGGCGGGAGGCTGGGCGAGGCTCGGGACGCTGACGCGGATAGCGTGTCGCGCCGATGTGTGGTAGGCCAGAACCGACGGAGCGACACACTATCCAGAGGCTCCCGACAATCGGGAGCGAGATGCTAACGCGGATGGCGGATCCGTGGATCGGGCGCGTGGGCGCCAAGGCCACGGATCGGGGAGAATCTGCCCCAGAAGAATGACCCCAAGGTCGCAAGTTTGCGACGGAGGTCGCCGACTTTGTATGGAATCGGGGCCCGCCGTTCATCCACGCGCGTTGGTCCATGTCTGAACTTCCTCGACATGCATCCTTACCCTCCCTCCCTCCCTCCACCTCCTCCTCCTCCTCCTCCTCCTCCTCCTCCTCCTCTTCCTCCTCCTCCTCCTCCCAAGGTGGATGGTTAGGCCCTGGATAAATGTTTGTCCGCCGGGCCAGGCGGGGTCGAAATACTGCCACTACTGCTTTTGAACCTTAGGCTCCACACTTGTGGCCTCCGCAAAAGGGGGGGCCAGACGGCGCACTGGGCCTTGACGTGTCCTCCTGCCGAGTCGATCCGATCCTCCTCCTCCCCCTCCTCCTCCTCCTCCTCCTCCTCCTCCTCCTCCTCCTCCGGGACCAGCCTCGGCGAAGGCAGGCCAATCCAGCTCCCAGCGTTCATCCTCCTCCTCCTCATCATCACCAGCATTGTCATGAAAAATATTCGCAGCCTTGTATTCGCTATTGTGTCCATCGTTGTGATCAATATCACAGACGCCCTGATCATCCCTGCTCCTCCCCCACCCGGGCTCGCCAACATCTACTCATCCACCTCCGCCTCATCAATCTCCTCAACTTCCTCCTCCTCCTCCTCGGCATCCTCCCTCCTCCTCCTCCTCCTCCTCCTCCTCCTCCTCGTCGTCATGATCCTCATCATCCGCGTCCATGCCTCCTCCTCCTCCTCCGCCTCCTCCTCCTCAGTCGGCAGTCCTCCTTCTCCTCAACTTCCTCCTCCTCCTCCTCGGCATCCTCCCTCCTCCTCCTCCTCCACCTCCTCCTCCTCCTCCTCATAAGATCCTTGTTCCCTCCTCCCTCATCCGCCTCATCCTCCTCCTCATCATCATCCTCATCACCCTCATGTCCCTCATGAACCTTACCAACACCACGATCAGCATCGTCATCATCAGCCTCATCATGGCCATCATCAGCATCGTCGTCATCATCCTCATCATCAGCAACATCATCATCATCATCAGCAGCAGCAGCATCAGCATCATCAGCATCAGCATCATCATCACCACCGCCATCACTACAATCATCACCATCATCATCATCGTCATCATCATCATCATCATCATCATAATCCTCATCATCATCATCAGCCGCAGCATCAGCATCACCACCAGTATCACCAGCATACACATCATTGTCATCATCGTCAGCATCATTAGCATCACCAGCTTCATCATCACAATAAAGGAAAAGTGTCAATCAAGTTATTGTTCACCCTCAACATCACCATCACCAGCACTATCACTCTCACCATCATGTCCAGCATCATAGCTCACACTCAACAACCGAATCGGCATCACCACACGATCAACAACATCACCATCACCCTAAACATCATCATCATCATCATCACCATCATCAACGTGCTCCGTCATTAGCATCGTTCCCCTACCCGTCTACCAACATCGTCAGCAGCATCCTCATCACCACCATCATCAGCATCATCCTGCACCCCATCATGCTAGTTCCTCCTCGTCATCCTTGTTCCGCCTCTAGCTCACTCGTGATCCCAGTTCTCCATCATCCAGCATCCTTGTAATCTCCCTCATCAACAGCAGCACCACCACCTTCACCCTCATCTCTCTCACCTGCGTCACCAGATTCAGGCCCTTGAGCATCGTTAACAACCATCATCCTACTTCTCATCCTCCGATTCGCATGAATTTCCTTCGCTGTAGCAATCGTCTCCATCGCCATCGATATCAACAGGATCGTCGTTGCTGCCACCAGTACCCTGTCAGGCATCGTCGTCGCCTTCACCACCCGTATCGTCGCCACCATCGCCATCGACGCCAAAACTATCCTCATAGCATTGCAGCCGATAGATCACCATCCAGATCGTCATCAACATTGTCAGCGAAATCGTCACCATCACCACCACAGTCGCCAGCATCATCATACGAGTCAGAACTACTAGCATGATCACAACCATCATCCTGAACTGCATCATCACCAGCACCAGTATCATCGTCATCAGCAACCAAATCATCATCAACAGCATCATCACCATCATCCTAATCTTCCTCATCATCATCATGGTCATGGTCATCATCATCATCATCATCATCATCATCATCATCACCAGCATCCGCATCATCGTCGTCGCCGCTGTCATCAACAGCAGTGGAGTGGCATAATTAGCAACAGCATCATCATCATCAGCATAATCACGAGCATCATTATCACCATCAGCAGCAGCCTCATCATCATATTCATTATCATCATCAGCAGCAGCAGCATCATCATTATCATCATCATCAGCAGCATCATCATCATCATCATCATCATCGTCATCATCATCAGCAGCAGCAGCAACAGCATCAGCATCAACACCACACAGTGTTGGCAGTCGCGTGTGCCCTTTTAGCACCGTGGGGGGGGTTAAGAGGCAAGACCCTTCGCTCACGCCTAATGCAGTCTGAACAGTAGACTCGTTTAGACGTCGCGTGCTGCTGGCGGTGATGCTGGGCGTCGGTTATCAGGCCTCTCACGTGGTTATCTGCCCGTGGTTTTGCCCAAACTGGCTCTCAATCCTAATTAGCTGTTGCTTGTGTTGCCAGCTGTCTCTAGCTCCTCCTCCTCCTCCTCCTCTTCCTCCTCCTCCTCCTCCTCCTCCTCCCCCGCCTCTTACTGTTCCCCTCCTCCTCCTCCTCCTCCCCCTCCCTCTCCTCAAACACGCCATGGTGCTGTCAGTGCTCGGCGAGATGCTACTACTGGAGCGATCCACCGCCTCGCCATGGCTGCATGCACGGAGATGGACGCTGGAGAGGGGAAGACGAGAGACTGAGGGCCAACGTAAGGGAGGAGCTGGCTAAGGGGGAGAGCATCGAGCTGGAATCGACGATCCATCGCTGATAGATTGGGAGATGCCCCTGAAAGCGAAGCCCCACGTTCAGGGGCCGGGCGGACCCTATCGGCGATGAATGGGCGATTGGGGGTCGATGCATTCCCCCCTGAGCATGTCCCGCCCGAACGTTCCCCCTGAAGTGTGGGAGGGGGGGCGGGGGGCGCGACGGGCCACAGGTGGAGGACGGGACACGGATACGCACATAGATACCAGGACCCTACTCGCCGCAGTCGAATTCCGCACCGCAGGCGCATTCCGCACCCGGACGTGCAATTTTCAGGCTCTGCCCTCCCTCGCTCCAGCCACACGCTCGACGGCCGCAACTGGGGCGGACACCCCCAGAGGCAGCACTGGATGTATCCAGGGGCTCCCATCGCCCGTGCCTTCGACGAGGCTCCCTGGCGAACACGTGCAATGCCCGCCCCTGGGCTGTCCGCTCTCCCAGACACCCGCCGCCATGCTTTTTTCAAACCGCGGCCCCAAGGAGGTCCAGCCGGCTTCCCCAGCCTCTCGCCCCGGAGCCAGTGTTTGATGGCCCAGGGGCCCGAGAACTGGCCCTGGAGGCTGAGATCGAGGACAGGCGCCCAGACTGCAAAAGCACCTCGCTGGAGACCTGGGCCTCCGCCGCCGAGCCACACTAGGGGGACACACCGGGTGCCGATGCCCCTGCTCCCCGGGCCTCTCACGGGGTGCGCCCTGACCAGGATTTCGAAGAGAATCCAGCCCTGGCGACGAGGGCCTCCCAGGATGCCCAAGAAGGCCAGAACGACGGGGAAGGGTGGCAGTATCGGTTCCTTCCTGTGACTCCGACGTCGCGATTTTGCTCACAACTTGAAGCCTGAGAATTACTCCTTGTCCTCCTTTGTCACAACTTGATCGGTTCCTTGTCCTCCTCTGAAGCGTGCTCAGCCGCCGCCGCAGCCAGTGCGGAGCCCACCCTCGCCTCGGGGACGCATCACTCCCGGGCCAGCAACAAGCCTGGGTCGGACAGGGCCCTGTCGCGAAGCCCGGACCGCCGCTGAGCAGCTCAACAACCTGGATCAGCGGAGGACACCCAGACATGCTCGCGTCCTGAAATAAAGGACGGGAGTTGTTTCGCAACTTTCGGCCTCTGGGGGCCCTCGCCGTGCCCTGGGACCGTCTGAAAAAGACTCCGGATGAAAAAACGGTTCCGAGGAAAAGGTCGGGAATTCTGGAGACCCCGCACTGACAACATCAGGACATCGTATGTCTGGGAAGGAGAAATCAGCCACACGAGGCTCCCAAGCTGGGGCCAGCAAGAGGGGATTAGCTGACCCCCGTTAGCCTAACCCCCGTTGCGGCAGGTTCATGTCGCGTCCACCCCTGCGTTAGGTCGTGACACCGCAGGGATCGGTCAACCTTGAACGATAGGACGTTTCCGGAACGTCTGATCATTCAACATCGACCGATTCTGGATCGCTGGCGGCGTCCAACGTTGAACGCCAGTGGTGGGATCGCCGCCGGTCGACACGACGCGAACCTACCGTACATGACCCCAATCGCCGCCGCAGCCGCCGCAGCCGGTGGCGAAGTCGCTGCAGCAGCTGGGGCCTGGGGGCAACGGCAGGGGGGATTGGCACAGGGGGGGGGAACCATCGCCCTGGAACCAGCGATACATTGCCAACTGATCGGCGATATGCCCTCGATTTCGAAGCCGCACGACCACGGGCGGGGTGGGCTATCGGGCCCCATATCGGCGATCAATGGGCGACTGCAAGATGGGGCTAGGACGAAGATAAGTTCGTTGCAAAGCGTTCCGGAACGCTCTCAGAGGGTTCCAGAATGCTCTGAGAAGGCCGCGGCGCCCGATACGTCCTTCAGAGCCGCCGAATCTCAGAGGCCCTCGATGTATCCTCACCCGAACTTATCCTCGACCTGGCCTCGCCTTAGATTGGGGGTCATACATCGGCTCTCTGGCGGCCGTTCGGGACGATCCCGGCACCCGCAGAAAACCCTCTTCTGGGCGCAGCCACTGGAAGACATCCCGAGGCTGGAAGACCGACGAGAACCGACGAAAACACGCCCGAAAACTTCCAGGCTCGATTCCGAGAAAGTCGCCCCCCCCCGAGCCCCTCCTCCCTACAGTCGGCGCGTTGACCTAAGGAACCCTAAATAAGGAACGAGGCCCCTTTTTCCCATCAGTTCAAGTTCGATGTTCCATCGGAAGCCTGAGGAAAACCTGAGACAAGCTGTGAAACTATCATCAAGGAACACGGAGCCCCTCCCCAACGAACAGGGTTCCTTCTTCAGCGCCTCGACTGTAATGCGATGCCCCTGGGGGTGCCGCTGCCCGGCGTCGTAAGCGCCGCCGGCCCCGCCGGCTGGGGCGAGGCCGCGGCCAGCAGCGCCCTGCAGGCCGCAGGCGCGGGCGCCTGCTGCAGGATGAGGGCCGGCCGGAAGACGCGGGGCACCTGGGACACGCAGGCCCAGCCCCTGCTCCTGGGCGGGGGGAGGAGTAGGGAGGGAGGGAGTGAGGGAGGGAGTGAGGCGGAGGAGGAGGGGGAGGGAGGAGGAAGAGCAGGATGAGGAGGATGAGGAGGAGGAGGAGGAGGAGGAGGGAAGGAGGGAAAGGGGGAGGAGGAGGGAGGAGGGAAGGTTGGAGAGGTGGAGGAGGAGGAGCAAGAGGAGGAGGAGGGAGGAGGGAAAGAGGGAAAGGGGGAGGAGGAGGGAGCAGGGGGGAAGGAGGAAAGGATGCATGACGGAGGATGGAGTCTGTCTTTTTTCCCAACCCTCCTGTGTTGGGTCCTCGTTTTGGAATAGAGCAGTGTGGTCTGCACCCTCCTTCTGCCGCCTCCCCTCTCCTCCCCTCCTCCTTCTCTCCTGCTTCCTGTGTTCCCCTCTCCTCCTCTCTGATGCCGTCGGGCTGCGATCTGCGCAACTGTCGCTACTTTCGTGGGCTCCTGGAAGGCTCAGCGGAGGTACGTCATACGCGGATCACCTCGGGAGCTCGCCGCCCCCTGGGGGGCTTGCGATCTGCGCAACTGTCGCCACTTTCGTGGGCTCCTGGGAGGCCCAGCGCAGGTACGTCATACGCGGATCACCTCGGTACATCGCCGCCCCCTGGGGGGCTTGCGATCTGCGCAACCGTCGCCACTTTCTTGGGCTACTGGGAGGCCCAGCGGAGGTACGTCATACGCGGATCACCTCGGGACCTCGCCGCCCCCTGGGGGGCTTGCGATCTGCGCAACTGTCGCGACTGTCGTGGGCTCCTGGGAGGCCCAGCGAAGGTACGTCATAGGCGGATCACCTCGGGAACTAGCCGCCCCCTGGGGGGCTTGCGATCTGCGCAACTGTCGCCACTTTCGTGGGCGCCTGGGAGGCCCAGCGGAAGTACGTCATACGCGGATCACCTCGGTACCTCGCGCCTCCCGGGGGGGCTTGCGATCTGGGCAACTGTCGCCACTTTCGTGGGCTCCTGGGGGGGCCAGCGGAGGTACGTCATACGCGGATCACCTCGGTACCTCGCCGCCCCTGGGGGGGATTGCGATCTGCGCAACTGTCGCCACTTTCATGGGCTCCTGGGAGGCCCAGCGGAGGTACGTCATACGCGGATCACCTCGGTACCTCGCGCCTCACTGGGGGGCTTGCGATCTGCGCAACTGTCGCCACTTTCGTGGGCTCCTGGGAGGCCCAGCGGTGGTACGTCATACGCGGATCACCTCGGGAACTCGCCGCCCCTGGGGGGGATTGCGATCTGCGCAACTGTCGCGACTGTCGTGGGCTCCTGGGAGGCCCAGCGGAGGTACGTCATACGCGGATCACCTCGGTACCTCGCGCCTTCCGGGGGGGCTTGCGATCTGCGCAACTGTCGCCATTTTCGCGGGCTCCTGGGAGGCCCAGCGGAGGTACGTCATACGGGGACCACCTCGGTACCTCGCCGCTCCCTGGGGGGGATTGCGATCTGCGCAACTGTCGCCACTTTCGTGGGCTCCTGGGAGGCCAAGCGGAGGTAACTCCCACGCGGTGACTGGGTGTTCCTGCTTATCCTCGAGGCCGCGACCTTTTGCTTCCACGTTTGGGTTCTTTTCTTTGGGTTCGCTGCCGCGCCCTTTGGTCTCCACTGTTGGGTGAGTCTCCGCCCCCGTTGTGCACCTCATGCATTGCCTCTTTCAGCGCAGCGCGTTGCTGAGTTAAACCGATGTTCTGGTTTAGCCTTTAGCCCTCGCGGCCCCCCTCTGTTGTGTTTCTTTCAACGCCCTTGTGTTTCCATTTTGTATGTTTGCTGTTTCTCTCCTTGATGATCTCTTCCGATTTCACTCCTGAGTGCTCTTCTTGCGGCGCACTGCGGGTCCTTCAGAATGCCAGTCAGCATTGAGTGGTCCTGAATATAAACGCCCCGTGTATAAAAAGGGTTGGGTACGTCGCAGGGTCATGTTTATCCGCGATAACGGGCGTGATCGGGGGGGTGATCGCATCACGGCGGGTTTCGGCCTCCCGGGGCCTTCTTCGAGCCCCCGGGCCCCCGGGAAGAGGACGATAAGGAAAAGGGAGAGGGAGCAGAGGAGACGGACCCCCGAGGAGGAGGATCAGGAGGATGCCCCTCTTCCTCCCCATCCTTCACGTGTCCCTCCAATCGGAGGCTTCGAGTGTCATCGGAGTCGTCGTCATCGTCGTCGAAGTCGTCATCGTCGGAATGTTCGTCGTCGTCGCCCTTGGCATCGTCGTCGTCGAATCGGAGTCGTGGGAGTCGTCGTCGTCAGCGTCGGAGTCACCGTCGCAATCGTCGTCGTCGTCGGAGTCGTCAGCGTCGTCGTCGTCGTGATCGTTGTCATCGGGGTCGTAGTCGTCGTCGTCGTCGTCGGAGTCGTCAGCGTCGTCGTCGTCGTCGTCGTCGTCGTCGTCGTCGTCGTCGTCGTCGTCGTCCCCCTCCTCCTCCTCGTTCTCGTCATCATCCTCCTCCTGCTCCTCCTCCTCGCGTAGCTCTCCCCGTCCTCCCCCGTCTCCCCTCGAGGAAAAGGAGGTGACACGTGGGGAAAACAGCGTGACGTGATCGGGGGGGGGAGGGGAGGGGCGGGGGCGACCACGAGCGTTATCGCCCATACTAAAGAAAAACAGGCTCATGGTGGAGGAGGAGCGGGGGGAGGAGGAGGAGGAGGAGGAGGAGGAGGAGGAGGAGGAGGAGGAGGAGGAGGAGGAGGAGGAGAAGGAGGAGCAGGAGGAGGAGGAGGAGGAGGAGGAGGGAGGACGGGGAGGACGGGGAGGATGGAGAGGGAGGAGGGGGCAGGACGGCCCACAGCTGGGGGAGCCCCGTGCCGCTTCACGGCCGAAGCGGGGCCTCAGAAGCGCAGGTCAAGAGCGCGGGCCCCTTGGCCGAAAGCACGAGGCCCCACCGCGATGCCCCAAACGAAAGAGCACTCCAAGGAGGAGAGCCCAAACTCGAAGAGCAGAAGGTCGGAGGCCCAGAGGTTGACACCAACACCCATATCGGCGGTGCGCCTCCACAGAGGGAAGATGCTCCCGATCTCGGCGATGATGATAATATCCGAGCACCACCAGCATCGAAGTCTGGGGTCATCTCCCCCCAGTGGAGGCAAACCCCTGCGTTGGTGTTGGTGCTCTCTTTGCCCTTTGGGGGCCCCCAATGCGGGTAACGATCCAAATCTGGGGCTGCTTAACTCTCGTACCAGCTGCCCCCCACCCACCCACACACACACACACACACTGACTGCTGGCAGCCCGTCGTGTCGGCGATCCTCCCGAGAGGGGCGCCAAAGGGGCGCCGAAGCCGACGGGTCCCCCCCCCCACCCTGGGGGGGTGGGGCGGCGATTAGCGGGGGGGGCGGCGATTAGCGGCGCGCACAAGGGGGCAGCGCGTGGGGGGCGGCCTGTGTACTACACAAGAGGACAGGAGCCTTCTTAGAACAGCATGGAGGTTTTCACAACAAGGCCTGTCTAGCAGACGGGAGGGCTTCTGAGACGCCACCTGAAGTCTTCGAAGCCCCCACCAGCCTTCGTAGAAGGCCTGCCACCTCGCGCCACCCTTTGTGCGCGTTGCCAGGGAAAGGAAGGAGCACAGCCCCCCCGCTGTGGCCCGTCTGCCTGAGCACGCCCAGCAGGTCACCGGGCAGCCCCCTGTCGGCCTTGAGCGGCATCCACTGCAGGATAAGGTCGAGGCCAGAGAGCGACGGCGCGCACTCGCCCTGAGTCGCCGCAGCCAGCTCGCAGAGGTACCTCTCCGAAAAAGCAACAGCCGGGGGGGAGGGGCTGCGCTCCCTACCCGCGGGGGGGACCCATCGCATCGACGACCTTTTCGAGAGAAATGTCGAAGCCGATGGGGCCCCCTAGGGGGGTAAGGCCCACAGCTCCCCCAGTTGTGGCCCGTGTGCCTCTGCCAGAAAACTATGATGATCGAGGTGCAGATTGGCTCCCTGGTCCACGAGGCGCGCACGGCCTCTCCCAGAGGAGAAGCAGAGACCTCATCCTCCTCCTCCTCCTCCTCCTCCTGCTTCTCCTTCTCCTCCTCCTCCTCCTCCTCCTCCTCCTCCTCCTCCTCCTCCTCCTCCTCCTCCCCATCAGCATTATCGTCGTCGTCGTTGTCCTCCTCCTACTCTTCTTCTTCCTCCTCCTCCTCGTCCTCGTCGTCATCATCATCACCAGCATCATTATCATCCTCCTCCTCCTCCTCCTCCTCCTCATCATCATCATCATGATCATCACCATCATCATCATCATCATAATCATAATCATCAGCATCATCAGCAGCAGCAGCATCGTCGTCATCATCAGCATTAACATCATCATCATCATCATCAGCAGCAGCATCATCGTCAGCCGCAGCATCGTCAGCATCGTCAGCAGCATCATCATCATCTGCATCATCATCATCATCGTCATCATCAGCATCACCATCATCATCAGCATCACCATCATCATCATCATCATCATCATCATCATCATCATCATCATCGTAACCATCATCGTCATCATCATCATTTTCCATCGTCATCAGCATCGTGATCTGCACCATCATCAGCAGCATCATCAGGATCATCATTGTTATCGTCAGCATCAGCTTTAGCATCCTCAGCATCAGCATCAACAAAATCAGCATCCTCATCATCATCGTCATCCTCATCATCACCATCATCGTCATCATCGTCATCATCATCATCGGCATCCTCGTCATCATCATGACCCTCATCATTATCATTATCATCACCATTATCATCATCATCAGCAGCATCATCATCATCATCAGCAGCAGCAGCAGCAGCAACAGCATCATCATCATCATCATCATCATCATCATCATCATCATCATCATCATCATCGTCCTCATCATCATCATCAGCAGCAGCAGCATCATCATCTCCATCCCAATCATCCCTCCTCCCCCCTCCATCGGCAAAAAGTTTCGCGCCCTGGTCCGCACACCACTTGTTGACATCTTACCACTGGTTGCAGGGGACTCGCAGTACGGGGGCATCGCGGGTCGGGGCGTAGACCTGGCGGGTTTAGCGATACGTACCCTGCAGAACCTTGCCGAGTCGCAGGGCACGTCCCTCATGCTCCTGCTCGTGGATGTGGTTCAGGCCTTCTACAAATCAGTACGTCAGTTGGTTATGGCCTCATGTCACACGGTCGAAGATCTCGCCATGCTTCTACACACTACTGGGCTCCCACCTTCAGCCCTGCACAGGTTACTCGAGAGGCTCAGATGTCAGCCCCCAGCCCTCCAGAAGGCCTCCATCAGTCCACACTTGCAGGCGCTCATCGCATCATCGTACCACGGATCATGGTTTACTTACCCAGGGTCCGACCTTATCGCGCTTTCGACTTTCGGGACGGTGCCAGGCCAACCATTAGGGGACGTCGTCTTCAATTTCATCATGGCTGAGTGTACTCACTTAGCCAATCAACGTCTGCAAGCCCTACAGCTTTCCACCCAGGTCCCAGTGCTTCCAGGGGCCTCCTTAGCGCAGCTTATACACCACGAGCCTGTCGGCACCAAACCCGCCCTGGAGATTTGTTTCTTTGACGACGGAGCCTTCGCAGTCTTAGGGCCGCCGTGCTGGCTGATCAGCACAGCCGCCGACGTTGCAGGCATTGTTGCGTCCAGCTTCGCGGAGCGAGGCTTGCGCCTCAACTTTAAGAAAGGGAAGTCCGAGCTGCTCTTCCAGTTCTGGGGTAAACAGTCTAAGGTGGCCCGACTGGAGCTCTGGAAAACTCGTCAAGGGGTCTTTCAAGTACATTCCGACAGTGCTGGAGATTTCACCATACATGCGGTCCGACAATACCCCCACTTAGGTACTATCATCGACGAGCGGGGAGCGACGGGGCCAGAAATCGCACACCGCATTGCAGGTATCTCCCAATCATCTCAGATTTTAAGGCGCCGTGTCTTCCCCAGTGTGCCGCACGAGGCCGGCGCCACCGCCATGAAGATGAGGTTTGTAGATGCGCTCATTTCCTCCTCTCTCTTACACAACGCTGGCACATGGATCAATATTGAGCACGGCGCACACAAAGTACTTCGTACCAACATACTTATGAGATATCGCGCAGCAGCAGGTTTGCAGAGATATGACGAGCACGCTGTTCCTGACTCTGAAGTTTTAGCCCACGTGGAACGGTCGGACCTTGACGTCCAGCTACGCGTGCATCGGTTACGCTTGCTGGGACGAGTGCTTCACTACGGATCCGACCTTCTGCTCGGTATGCTCGCGCACGTGTATCGCCTCATGCTCTCACTGCGCACCACGCCTCTACAGCCACAGCACGCGCGGCAGCACGCCAAGACTACATGGCTGCATCACGTATGGGACGATCTCAGATGGCTCCGCACAGTTACAAAATCGTTCCAGGATTTCCCGGACCCTGCAGACAGCTTTCACCCGTGGGAACAACACATTCGGAGATCCATTACTTCCTGGAGACGTCAGCTGAGAGCAGCGCAGATTGGAGCAGCACAAGCCGCCGCCCGCCAGGCATTAGCAGTACGAGCAGAGCGCATCTTTTTCCAGTGCGCTCGGGAAGGAGGCTTCCCACTTCCAGTTTCACATCCTGATCATCCCTTGCGGGCTGCCGACCGACCACCAGCACAACAATATATATGTCCTTGGTGCCACATCACTTACTCTAAGGTTACAGCCTTACGACAACACATCATACGTACACACTTTACCATGGTCCAACACGTGGAAAGGGTTATGGGGGACAAAGCAGTATGTCGAGCATGTTCCATGGAATTCGCATCTCGCCGACAACTTCGCAATCATTTGGCATGCGACGCAGCCCGCTGCTGTTTAGCACATTTCTTGCACGGAGCTCAGATGACGGCCGACGAGGCCGAGCAAGCTGCAGCACGTGACCGTCAGGCATGCGCCGACCAGCGTCGTGCCGGGTTGGGCAGATGGAGATCAGCCTACCCAGCAACCACTACAGTATGCGACGACGGTCTGATTTGGGAAGCAGCTGAAGTCTTTGCCTTATACGATGAGGACGAAGCCAAAGAGCTCCTCAGAGGTGCCTTCTATGAGCTTACCCCCGAGGCCCAAGAGACCCTGGAGGAGATCTGGCGCCCCCCCAGAGTTCAGAACGATCCAGATGAACCACCAGAGGCCCAATTCTCGGACAGACATTATCTTTTCCGCCCGCAGGACTTTCAACATCTTTCCACCCAACAGGTGCCGTGGCGTGTGCAGCGACGTGAGGTATACATACTAAACCTATTTTGTGGTCGTCGTCGTCAGGGTGATATTCAACACAACATCGACAATGCCGAATACGGTCAAGATATCCACATTGTCACACTGTCTATCGACATATCCATCGACAACATACGCTGTGATATGACCCGTCAAGCTACGATAGACGAATGGGCAGGCCACATCAGAGCTCGCCGAGTCTGGGCTTCAGGGGGGGGACCCCCCTGCGAGACCTGGTGCCCAGCTAGATGGCTGGAGGGGGGGCCCCCCCCACTCAGGACTGCCGAGTATTTCTGGGGTGTTCCGTGGGCCTCTCCGACCCAGGCACAGCAGCTCGAAGTAGGTAACAAGCTCCTGCAATGTCTTGTGCTTCTGCTCGCGGAACACATCAGAGCAGGGACGTGCGGGTGGATGGAGCACCCAGCACCCGCTTGGTGGAGAGCCCAGGCCGTTTCAAGTTTTGCGTGGATGCCTCTCCGTTCTTTGGAATGCTGTCCCATTGTTGCTACGACGGATTTCGACCAATGCACCCTCAATGATGCAGATCCTGCTACAGTCGGCCGTGCCCCGACGAGGATCATGTCGCTCCGTCTTCCCACTTTGCACGGCAAACTTACGGCTTGCAACAACGGCAAATGCAATCACGGCAAGGGAGTACATAAAACGCTTCTCGGCAAAAATGAGGACCACAGTTTCAAAACCAGTGCGAAGAAGACCTACCCGACACGGATGTGTACAGCTATAGCTACGGCCATGACCGATGCCATTGTTACTGCTACGTATGAAGGCGACCCATGGGATCAGGACCCCACCCCCCCCGACACCTGCAGTCTGCGAGAATTTCACATTCCATGGGATCCAGGCGCTGCGTTCTGGGAGGCCCCAGATTTCGCCCGACCCACCGCGACTTCCAGGAAGCGTGGTGATCCTGAATCCAGCCGCTGGCGGCCTCCTTCCTCTCCCTCCTCCCCTGCCGAGGATCCCTGGGTTCCGCCGCAGGACCCTCCAGCCGCGGAGCTGGCAGCGCCGCCCGACGACCCGCCCAACGAGGCCGGGCCGCCCTCTGACCCCGAGGACGGGGTTCCCCCCTCCTTTTTCCTTCCTGCTCCCCCTCCCCCCCCACCGACCCTTTCGTCGGCTCTGCTCGAACGCATCAGACGGAATCGAGCAGAGGCCAAGGAGCGGCGCAGACGCCGCTTGGCCCCTTGGTCCTTTTCTTCGATTCTCTGGCCCCATGAGGAGACCAGAGTTTCTTCCAGAGCCCTGTTGGTGTAAAGCTCCTCGGGGGGTTTTTCCCAATTTGTGCTTAGTGAGAACGGCTTGAACGCTCATTCCACCGTCCGCCGCCGCCTCCATGGTAACGTTCACCGAACACTGGTTCGGGAGCCCCGAAGGGCGCCCGAGGGCCGAGGGGCGGTGAGAGGGAGGGGAAGGGGAGGACGAGGGGGCCCCCTCCATCCCGAAAGTGTAATTGAGCCCACTCTCAGAAGAAAACTGCTTGAAGCATGTAAAATCAAATTCTCGGCATCCTTCCCATCCCCATCCCTCATTCATGCTACCTCTTCTTGACCCTTTTTCCTTCTCTCCCCACCCCTCGGCCTCGCCCGTCTCCCCGCCCTCTTTCCCCCACCCTCGTCGTCGTCGCCGCCGTCCTCCTCCGCCTCCTCGTCCTCCTCATCATCCTTCCTCTTCCTCCTCCCCCTCCTCATCGTCTTTACCATCAGCAGAAGCATGATCATCTGCAGCAGCATGGTCATCATCATCATCATCATCATCATCATCATCATCATCATCATCGTTATCATCATCATCATCCTCATCATCATCATCATCATCATCAGCATCATCGTCATCATCATCATCATCAGCATCATCATCATCATCATCATATTCATGAACATATTATCCGAATTATCATGAGCATTAGCATAACCATCACCCCCATCATCATCAGCAGCATCGTCATTGTCATCGTCATCACCATCATCAGCCGCATCAGCCTTATCAGCATCAGCATCATCATCAACCGCATCGTCGTCATCATCAGCAATATCATAACTACCATCAGCATGCGCATCTTCATAAGATTCACCATCATCATCAGCAACATCACCATCATCAGTATTATAATCTGCATCGTCAGCATCATCATCAGCGATGAACGAGCCTCGCATCAGACCATTAAAGCCACACTCAAGCTCGTGGGGGAAGAAAAGGGAGGGAGGGAGAGCTTGAGCAAAGTGGCAGTGGCCATACGGCGATGCTCAACTACAGTGCCTGCTTCCCGTACTGAATACACCCAGCAGGGCCTCTTCCGACCCTCGTCGCCAAGAGAGATGATGTATTTGTGAGGAGCAGCGCACGGCGGCGAACTCGCGACAACAAGGCGAGCCACTGGACAGATGAACGAGCCTCGCATCCGCAACCCGAACGCGAACTTGGCCTGGGGCCGAAAAAACAATCAGGGCTACCCTCCCATTCTGTCAGAGAGAGCGAGGGAGCGCTTGCTTTCACACGTGCGTACGAGTATGGCAGCGGCGGCTTTGGCAAAAGCAGCGGGGTAGGCGGCGGCAATGGCTGTCCAATGCTTCCCGCCTGGCGCCCGCCCACTGAGCTCGAGGTGGGGCCGGAGAGTCCTGCTGCAAATGCCTCGGGGGCCGCCGCATTTTTTTGACAGCTCCCACAATTCTCCGATGGCCCAGGCTTGCACTCGAGTAGCTTTTCTCCAGGGCGCGCCGAATTGGCACATGTGACATATTACAGAAGTGCTGCTTTGTAGACTGAGGAGCTTCTGAAAGTGAGGCGAGGACCACATCAAGCTGGTCTGGGGATTCTCAATCATGACGCCTACATTGTGTCTGAGGCATGCGCGGATCACGTGAAGGGAAAAATGGAATGACTTATTTCCTATATCGAGCTTGCTAAAAAGATCAGGCGAAAGGTCAGGCCGCCCGTCAGGGTACTCAGCAGTTCGAAGCGGGACCCGAAGCGCACGGGTCCAGGTGCTGCAGGGCGTACCGAGCCAGATCCCGGCGATGGCCCCGCTTGCGATCCAGCCCAGGATCCTGTTGAGGAAGGTCGGGGTGAGATGGTTCTCAAGAGGTGAGCCATTGATGTCCAGGCTAAGCGCGGCATAGCCCATGGCCTGCGCGCTGGCTGCGACGCGGCCACAGCCCCCGAAGAGCTCGAGGAACAGCAGCGACCGCAAGCGCACTGCCCGGCCCAGGCTCGCAGCGAACCTCTTACCGAGGTGGGCGCCAACGTCCCCGCCGTGGACCAGGTGAGTCACGCTGGCCGCCGCTTTCGCCCGCGGCCGGCGGCGGACGTGGCCCCGCCGCTCTGGCCCGCAAGCAACAGGCTCCTCACGCTCGCCGGGACCTGGTCGAAAAGCGGGCCAGTCAGCCCGTGCTCGACGAGTCCCGTGAAGTGAGTCATCACAAAGTTCCCGAAGCCGAAGATGTCGCTGTGGACCTCCTGCAGCTCCCGCAGCAGGCGCGTGGCCTTGGTGTATCGGCGCAGGCTTGACGCAGACACCCACCGGCCTCGCGCCCGTACCTGCTCCAGGCTTCGGCGGCCGGCCAGAAGGTCGTCTGACGCCCCGCCGTGCCGGAGCGAGTAGGGATGCGGGGCAAGCTGCCCCAGCCCCAGCAGGTCCGCGGCCGCTTTGAACATCATCCTGAACTCCGTCGCGCCGAAGTCCCACAGCGAGGCGTCGGCGTGCGTCGCCGCCTGGAGCCCGGCCAGCGCTGGCAGGATCCAGCTGTCCTGGTCGATGAGCACCGCGTCGTCCGAGGTGCCGGTCTTGGACGGCTGGCCGAGCTCGAAGTCGTGGAGAAGCAGCCCCCAGCTCGCGTAGCTCGCGCCTGCCGCCGACACCGGGGCGACCAGGTGCCTGCCCAGCAGTGCAATCCCCTCCAGCGGCCTGAGGTAGCAGATGAAGGTCAGCATGGTGTAGATGGCCATTCGGCGCTGGCCGAGGAACAGCATCACCCCGGCGATCGCCGCCGCGCCAGTCTTCGGCATCGGCAGCCTCGAGCGCCCGGGTGCCCGACGCTTCCAGGCCCCGGCAGCGCGGCAAGCGCGCGGCAGGTACAGCCCGCTGCGCCGAGCCAGCCTCGGGTAGACGTGCGCCAGCGCCGCGATCAGCTGCGTCCCCAAGTCCGAGCACTTGCCGTCCAGGAACTGATGGTTCAGCAGCGCGGTGACCGCATTGTCCAGCGTCTCCCAGCTGTCCCAGTCCAGGTGGTACGTCCGACAGAAGAGGACCAGCGTCGCCAGGCGGTCCTGGTACTGCCTCTGCGTGTTCGGGCGGATCGCTGCGGACTCGAGGACCGAGAGGCCGAAGGTCTGCACCGTGGAGGCGGCCACCTGCTGGGCGTTCCTCGCCCGCTCGACGGCGGCCTGCGCCGCCGCTGGCCGCCGGCGCCCAGCCATGCGGCCGGGCAAGGTGCACGTGATATGGAGTAGTGAAAAAACCGTGATCACCTCGAGACGGATTGTCAGCAGGATTGAGTTCAGATGGGACCCACCGCACAACTATCCTGCACCCTGTAGTCAGTGAAAGAGCAGCTATCTTCTGAAGCACGTGTCGGAGGTATCGAGAGTTCGCCCGCCCCTTCGTGGCCGCTAGGGCCAGTGGTAGGTTGTCCACTATGAACAGGATCTTCTTCCCAAGAGCCCCGGTGTTTCTGAGCGTGTGACGAATGGCCATTAGGAGCGCCTCCCCCTCGAGCTCTAGGATGTCCGTGGACCCAGCGACCTTCGAGGCATGAACGACTTTCCAGGTGTCTGACTTCAGGAAACCCATGGGGACCTCGTCGAAGACCACGGGGTTGTCGACCAGCAGGTTCTCAAGGGCCTTGTCGGGGTCATTGATGGAGTCCACAGGAGCCTGACGAAGGGCATGTTCGCGAGCCCGCTGGGCCCCGTCAACCCGAAAGCGCCATCTCTCACTGCATCGGCCAATAGAGGATACCAGCTGGATGGGAGCTCTTCGGACAGTGACTCCAAGACCAAACAACGAAGCATCTGACGCGGCAACCTCTGGCCACCACTCGGCGCTGAGGTCAACGCTGAGCAACGGTAAGATACAGCGAGCTCGCCAGAGCTCGCGCCGCACTGATCTCCACAGTCGGGCCTGTCGCTGCCCGATCCGCTCTGCAAACTGGTAGCATGAGTTGAGCAAAGAGAGGACTTCACGGCGAATCAACCCAGCCCAGGTAAAGTGACCGATGATGATTCTGAGAGCGTCTCCCGAACAGAACCCCTTCCTGAGCAGGGCGTCGATCCCAAAACGAAGCCTCCAAATGCTCCTGGCCTTAATCGAAAGATCACGTCCTCTCTTCAGCTCTAAACCTACGAAGGTGGCATCGCGGGCGGCCGGCTCCTCATCGTGCGTGAGCAGCCCCTTATCCGTCAGCGCGCGCGTGACGGCGAGGGCGGCCCGGTCGACGATGGCCGGTGAGCGACCCAGGGCAGCGTAGTTGTCGACGTAGCCGGCGACCGCCAGGGCGCCCTCCTCGTCGACCACGACCCCGGCCTTCCCGTCCTCGATGCACTGGCCCTCTGTGAACCCCGCGGAGTCCAGGGCCCGCCGCAGCACGCCCTGACAGAGGGCCAGCGCGTGGCTCCAGCCCATCGGCAGCACGCAGACGCAAGGCTGCACCCGCGCCCCTCGCGCGAGCCGCGCCCCGCCCAGGTGCGTGATCCCGAGCAGGCTGGCGTCCAGGGCGGGCAGCCGGAAGTAGGACGACAGGCCGTCGGGCAGCCGCAACCTGTAGAAGGCATTATCGATGTCGCCCGAGGCAAGGCACGTGTCGTGCCCTGGGTTCTCGAACGCCGCAAGCGCCGTAGCCGTCGGCAAAGCGGTCCGAGCTGGTCGCCCGAAAAATAAATTTGCATACCTCGTATCAAATATCACTCTCAACTTGTTGTTCTTCTTCGCGACGAAGAAGCAGCCCACGGTGGCCGCGTCACAGTCCTCCCTCAGCTCCACCATGCCGCGGGCCAGCAGCTTGGCGACAAAATCGGCGTAAAGCAGAGGCTTACTGAAGAGACTGGGATCAAAAAAAGGTCCGTGCGGGCAGAACTCAGCACGTTCTGCGGATGTAGGTTGATCTGGCCTGAGCAAGGTGCTTTGCCAGCGGCCCAGCCACTCAGACTCGGCCTCACCCAGGCAAGCGCACAGCGGGACGGGCTGCACGTCGGGCGAGGGCCAGGAAATGGACTCCTTGACATACGGCCGTCGGGAGGAGAGATCACCCGTCTGGTAGATCCCCGTCCCCGCGAGGAGCTCACGGAGGGCTCCCTCGCGGAAGCCTGCCTCTGGTGGCGGCTTGCCAAGCGCGCGCACTCGCGACTCGACATGCTCCACTGCGTGTCGCTGACCAGCGTTGGCGGGGACCGCCGGCCGATCCTGGTGGCCGTACAAGTCGTTCAGGGCGTCGATGCAGTCGTCGCCCCAGTCGAGGATGTGCTTGGCAGCCTCTCCACGCCGCCTGGTGACCCGGGACAGGTCCCGGCGGCCCGCCGCGCCGGCGTGATCTCGGCACAGCGGGGGCAGCGGAAAAATGTCGCGCTGGCGGCCGCTCTGCCCCAGCATGTCAAAAACCTCTCTGTTCGGCGGACCGTTAGAGGCATCACGGTCCACAGGCGTCTCAGTCAGGGGGCCGCGCCAGCCGCCTGAAACCGGCGCGGCCGAGGGGAACATCACCCCTCCTCATCCTTCTTGTTCTTCTTGTTGTTCCCCTTCTTGGCAAGCTCCCTCTCCTCCCGGGCCTTGCGCCGCTCCTTGAGCAGAGCCTGCTCCTTGGCCAGCTGGGCGCTGGCCCACTCCTGGAGGAGAGGGCTCACACGCACTCCTCCTCTGGTCAGCTCGCTGCCCATGTACAGGTGCGTGTCGACGCTGTCGGGGCCGCCGCCTCCTGAGCCGCCAGCACTCCTGTCGCGGTACCTCTCCTGCTGCACCTGGATGTTCCGCACCAGCAGCTCCACGGCCGCCAGATTCGCACCATTACACTGGTCGTAGCAGATGAGCTCCTCCAGCGCCCGGCACGAGCGCTCATGCTCCTGCACCCCGGGCTCGTGCTCCTGGAGGCGGGCCTCACTGCGCCACCGAGAGTGCATCCCGGTCGGCGTCCCGCCGTGCTCGATGATGCACCGCAGGACCCAGAGCGCGGTGCGAGGTCCACGCACGGGCCACCCCGCCCACTGGTCCTCCCGGCAGGCCAGCACCGCCTCGCGGAACTCCCGCCGACGGTTGCCCATGGCGTCGTACACCACTGGGAGCACCCTCGCGCCCTGGACGTGGCCGCCAGCGCCCGCAGCACCCGCGGGCGCGCCTCCCGCAGCAGCGGGCGGGCCCGCGGCGGCTGCGGCGGCGCCCGCGTCCGCGGGCACAAGGGCGGCGGCCGCCCCTGGGGCGCCGGCGGCAGCGGCGGCGAGCACTCCGTCGGCTCCTGGAGCCGCGGCAGCCGCGGCGCCGGCCGCAGCGGGGGCGGGCAGCGGGCCTGGAACAAGCACGCCGGCTGGTGCCCCTGCCGCTGGGCCACCGAGCGCCGCCACCAGGCCGCCGAGCCCCGCCGCCGGGGCCACTCCGCCCGGCGCAGCTGCAGCGGCCGCCGCCGGCGCGCCCGCCGCTCCGCCAAGCGGGGCAGCGGCGCCCCCGGCTTCGAGCGCGCCAGGCGCGGCCCCCCCCGCCGGCGGCCCGACGAGGCGCCCGCCGAGGGCTGGCACCAAGGGCCCGCCCGGCACAGGCTGGCCCAGGCGTCCAGCAGCAGCCACAGCGGACGCCGTGAGGCTCGCTGCAGTCGGCATCGCACCAGCTCTGAACCGATAGTATCGCGCTCCCGGCCGACCCATCAGCACGCCACCCGGCTGCCGATTCGGCAGCGGCTCCCACTCGATGATGTCGGGCAGGCCCCACACCTCCTCGTATTCGTCGCCGTCGGGCGTGGTGATGGAAACGGTCAGCCCGGCACCCAGCGGAAGGTAGTTGACCAGCCGCTCGTGGTACAGGGCCCCGCCCGGAACGTTGTACCGTACAACACAGAAGTCGCCCACCTGAAGGTCGTGAGACGCGGTGAGTGGGTGCTGGCCAGCAGCAGCCAGCATCATTGTGCCAACGCCTTGGCCTTGTACTGAGCTACCTGGGCCCGAGCAGTGGCGTCCAGGTCGTCGGCGTGCCGCCCGGTCTTGACTCCAAAGCGCGTCAGCCGGCCCGCGAAGAAGGCGAGCAGGGCGATGCAGGCGCAGATGACCCCAACCGTGAGCGGCGTCACTGGCGAGATGTGGGCCACGTCACCGGTCGTGCAGGTCAACGGCGGGCACTTCAAGACTGGCGAGCACTCACACGCCGGGCAAGTCGGCCGCCCAGCCCACACGACGAGGCCAGTCGAGGCCCCTTCAGCGATCCGTCCGACAAGCTGGCGAATGGCGGCTTGCATCACCAGAATGTGAGGGGCGCCCTGACTCAGAGCTTGAGCCAAGTGGCAGTGGCCATACGGCGATGCTCAACTACAGTGCCTGCTTCCCGTACTGAATACACCCATAATCAGCATCGTCACCATCGTCATCATCACAAGCATGTTCATCATGTCCATCATGAGAGACATCAAAGCAGCATACCCTACATATGCCAAGCACATGTCGCCTGGCCGACTCTGAAACTACTCTCCCAAGAGCCATTAAGCCTCTCGAGGCGGCCTCCGTCTGGCACAGGCGCACAGGTGCACAGGTTCAGTGGATGCTGCTCGTGCGCTTTGAGCGCCAATGCATCCACTTCGGCATTGAACTCCCTTTACTGGTGCTGGAACCACGACTGAATGAGAGCACAAGGACCTCCCCGCCTGCAACCCAGAAGTCATACAGCATGCCCTGCGCAGCTCCAATCAATGGGCGATGCCATCGAGTTTTGCAGCGCGAAGCCCCCTCGAGCCAGACAACGACGAGCATACTATCTCATGTGAACTGGATGCGGAGAGCCGTCTTGACTCCACTCCTGGCGGGTGCCGAAGCGGACAACCTTTCTCTTCTTGGCTGGTGGTCCACCTGCGACGGGGGGCTCGGCGGGCACTCCAAGCGGCACCCTGTGTAAGCCGACTGAATCAAGAGCCGTGCGGGTCAGGTTGTTGACAGAGTCCCTGGCCAGGAAAGCCTCGTACATAATATCGTCCCACTGCTTCGGGCCGGTGTAATTGTGGCGGTGCTTCCACCTTCCCCTGGACGCCGTATTCCGAGGGTCTCTTTAATGCCAACATGTTGCAATTGACGCCAATACGCAGTGCCCCGGAAGCGGGCCCGTCTCTCAGCCACCAGAAAGCCAACGTGCATCTGTAAGGATACGACGGATTCACTCTCATGGCGCACGCGAGGATGGCCTTCAAGACCCAGTAAGCGAGCGGTTCAAAACCCATATGTCCATAAGCCTTTCTTCACGAGGCTTCCTTCTTAACATGACGATGCGCTGGAGGTGCTGGCCTTCCCAGTGCACGAGCTTCTCCACCAGATGATTTGACCAAGACCACCATGCACAGCAGAAAAGAGAAACTGGAAAGACCAGACACTGGTAGCGCTCGAATCTCTCGTGGAGCGGTACGCCTTTACTTTGGAGGTATCGTTGGTCACGCCAGAACGCCTGGCCAGCCGAAGACAAACTAGCATCGACCGCTGCATGGCTGGTGCCCTCATTCGATACCGTCTTGACCGACATGCTCAATGCTTCTACATGATGGTGATGATGGTGATGATGATGATGATGAGGATGATGATGAGGAGGATGATGGTGATGGTGATGAGGATGATGATGAATGATGATGATGATGAGGAGGAGGAGGAGGAGGATGATGATGGTGATGATGATGATTATGATGATGATGATGATGATGATGATGATGATGATGATGATGATGATGATGGTGGTGACGATGATGACGATGATGATGGTGGTGACGAGGTGAAGGAGGAGGAGGAGGAGGAGGAGGAGGAGGAGGAGGAGGAGGAGGGGGGGGGGAGGCGGGAGGAGGCTGGACGAAGAGGAGAAGGAGGAGGAGAACGAGGAGGATGGGGAGGGAAGAAGCAGGAGGAGGAGGCAGGTGGAGGAGGAAGAGGAGGCAGGAGTATGATGGATGGTGGGCAGGATCTGCAGGGAACAAGAACGAGGAGGAGGAGGAGAAGGAGGAAGAGGGGGAGACGGAGGAAGGGGCAGGAGGAGAATGAGGGGGAGGAGTACCCCCGAAGGCCCAGGGAGGCCCGAGAGGTCCCCAGGAGGCCCAGGAGGCTCTAGAAGGCAGCGGGCAGACCCAGGATGCCCTGTGAGTGGGCAGGAGGCCCAGCCAGGAGGCAGGAGGAGGCCCCAGGAGGAGGAAAAGGAGGAGGAGGAGGAGAAGGAAGGAAGGAAGGAAGGAAGGAAGGAAGGAAGGATGAAGAGGAGGAGGAGGAGGAGGAGAAGGAAGGATGAAGAGGAGGAGGAGGAGGAGAAGGTCCATGACCATTTTGGCTCACGCCATTTTGGCTCAAACCATGTTGGCTCACGTAACACATGTCTCGAAGTTGCGCAGGGCTTTTACATCAATCTGTCACAGGTGACCGCCAGGTTAGACAGAGCATACGTTCAGGCATCATTTCCAAGTCAAGAGATCTCAGGTTTCTTCCAGGTGGAATTGCCTGTGCGTTCGGTATGTGAAGCATCATGCGGCGTGCCTATGCGGATTCCAGTATCGCGACTTCGGACTAGTTTAAGACCAAGGTCAACGTGGAGGGATACTGCAGCCAGTCGGTGCAGGCTCAAGGCCGCCACCCAGAGTAGGCAGCCAGCCACGCCGCCCTTCGAGCCGAAGTCGCTCAGAAGAGAAGCTCAAGGCTTCTCAGCTATGGGCGGACAAGCATGTGAAAGCATACATTGCGAGGCATCAGCCGATTTCAAGGGAACAAGCTTCGTCCCACGAGTGTTATATTCATGCGCCCGAAGATCCCCAATGTATGCACAAGTTCGAGTTGGAGATGAGGTCTCCTATGGCGTACATTGCGACGTTGGCGATGGCAGCAAAGAGAGCATCAGAGTTCGAAGACGTCGACATGCACGATCGCAAGATCGCAGTGATGAAACGCATGATATGGAACACCCTCTTGTACGCGCAACAGTTCGCCGACTTGAGGAGCAGAAAGGAGAGGGCAATGGTTAGACTGTCGAATCCATACGCTTGCATGCAGGACCCCAAGACCCAGAAAGGCGGGATCACGACGGAGATGGAGCAGTACGAGGATCATCAACGAGATCGAAGTGCTGCAGCTCGAGGGCGACGATATGGGTGGGCTGCCACCGCCGCCGCCGCCGCCTGCTGGAGGTATGCCGGGGCCCAGTGGTGGAGCCGCCCAACCACAGGCCGCGGGGCCATACGGGCCTGCGCCGAAGACGGCCCAGCAGCAGCAGGATGTCAGTCAGGAGTTCGCCGAGACGAAGTATACGATTCTCCAGATGGTGCCGAGGCAGGAGCAGTCAGACGCGTTACTCGGTATGTTGGCGCAGGTGGCATCAGCGCAGGGGGTCACGCCCACGATGACGGTTCCAGCGTCTCAGACGGGTTCCACGGCCAGTGCTTCAGCGAGTGCCAGTTCGGGCGGAGAAGCCATGTCGTCAACGACTCCACCAGCGTTCCCGCATCAGCCGCCGGATGTGGTGGGGTGTCCTGTACCAGGGATCCCAGTAGGCCAGTCCATACGAGCGCCGAGAGCGCCCACGACCATCCCGCCTTGACAATGGACGCCCCCTCCAGTCGGTGCTGTGGTCGGTCATGGGATGCGATGCGCTGGGCAGGCCAGACACCGGTACTCCGAGCGAGCAGGTGCTGGCAGGTGGCGTACCGCCGCCGACGAGTCCAGCAGGTGCGGAGCCCATGGAGGAGGATATCCCAGTTCCGTCGACTACGCCAGATTGCTCTCGTACGCCGCCGATGAACACGCAGCACAAGTTAGTCGCCCCGTTCGGTCCAACCTCGCCATCGGTGTTGCCCAGTCCTGCGGAGGTGGCAAGTGCCTTGGCTCAGCTGGTGACGTCAGAAGAGGAACCCGTGAGGTCAGAAGTACAAGGAAGATGTCAAGTCGCCGCCTCGCAAGGAGCTGAGGACCCTTGCCGAACCAGGGGCCCCATCCAAGCACAAGCAGTCGGCGTGTCTGCCTTGCAAGAGTGCGCGTGCTGCGCGTTGCGAATGTGGGAAGCCGCACATCATGCACGCACCATGTTGCAGCAATACCTTTGCAAGGCTGATCAGTTTAGAGCAGCACGCTTCGCACGCAACCCCGATGGATGTACCTGACCATGAGTGGCACCAGATTGGACCGTGTCTGGGAGACAGGTGGAGGTGTGGGCGTTTGGGTGAAGATGTAATGGCCACAGGCATGCGCTTGAATCCCGTGGTTGACGATGCTCCCGTTGACATGCCAGAGGATCAGTAGCAGTCAAGCCGAACGTGTAGGCACCGTTTTAGCACGTACGGTGTGGGCATTGAATAAGGAACCCCTAGATAGCGATGCCCTTCCTCTGCTGAACAAGCTCCTCTTAAAACCCAAGGCCGATACACTTTTCCGGGCTCACCACTGTCTCTGCAAACATTCTGAAAGCTCGAGGACGGCCGCGGTTGGGGCCGGCCTCGACTAGCCAAGGGCGGGTGGGCACGGGAGAGCTTGAAGCCAGAGCCCCCGCGCGTCGAGGAATCACTGCAATCAGCGATGCCCTTCCTCTGCTGAAAAAGCTCCTCTTAAAACCCAAGGCCGATAAACTTTTCCGGGCTCACCACTGCCTCTGCAAACATTCTGAAAGCTCGAGGACGGCCACGGTTGGGGCCAGCCTCGACTAGCCACAACCGCTCTTGGTGGAAGACGGGGCGGGGGAGGGAAGAGCGAAGCGGGCACCGAAGAGCTCTGTTGGCAGCGGCGGCGGCACACGAGGACGGTGACCGGGCGGGGGTCGACGTCGCTCGGCCTCGGCAAACGACTCGAAGACAGAAGCTGCCAGGTGGTCACGAAAAGGGGGGGCGCCGGCAGCCTCGGCGAAAAGACAGACTTTACTACGGAGGGGACTCGGGAGGTCCGCGAGGAGCGTACTAGCCCCGACCTCCTGGATTTAAATCTCTAGCACCCTGCTGGAGAGCCATCAGCCCCTGTAGCGAACCCAATCTGGCGAATCTGTGAGCCTATACCAAAACGCGGCCCCTCCCGGGCGGAGGGGCGCGGGGGTGATGCCACCTTTGTCTGAAAGTTGAATTCCGAAGAAAACCCTGAGGGAATCCAAACAAAATCTGAAAACACGGGCACCACATGCATGAGAGGGAAG